ATATACAACACCTTTTATTATTTGTGAAGGTCCAAAACGATCTGGGGTTATTGAAAGACATAAGGGACTGCAATCGGTCATTTTTTTTCAAGTAGTTTTTCACAGTGATCGATCACTACCAAATTAAATTGGTAAAAAAAAAAAAATTCTTACAGATTTGTAAATATTTTTCATTTAGATTTTTTAAAATTTTTTCATGCATTTTTTTTAATTTTTTTCTCATACAGATATTTTTAATTTTTTTTAAAAAAAATTTCATACAGATAGTTTTAATTTTTTCATGCAAATTTTTGTAAATTTTTTTCATACAAAACACTGGTTAGATTTTTAAGTCATTAAGTCTATTTTCTTATAAGTTGTTAGGTAAAAAATACACTTTTTAATTTATTATTTTCTTATATTACCTAAGTTCCCTCCATGGTATTTTTTTGTTATTTGTTATAAATTACTGGGTTTTAAATTTATTTTATAGTTAAAAAAAATTCTATAATAAAATTACAATCGATAAAGTCAATGTCAAAATTACATCAAATTTTTAACTTTTCTGCTATTGTCTGTCCTCAATAATTTCACCTAACCACTCTTTATACATTACTCTTCATATATACAATTTAAATATTATTTCATAAAATTTAATATTAATTAAATAAATTTAGTCTTAATATGATAAATTTAAATATTAATTTGGTTTTAATTTGATAAAATTAAATATTAATTCAATATTGATTTGATAAAATTTAAATGTTGCTTTAATGAAATTGAATAAATTTAAATGTTACCGCTCAAATCCGTCTTTTCTTCGTATTAAAAAGATACATCAAATTAGAGTTAATTATAAAAAAATACACAAAAAAATTATAGGATAAAAAAATTCTTAATTTTGATATTTATTTGTTTTAAAGTACATTATTTAAAATTTTCATATTTTCTTCTAACCTTTATATCCTCCTTGATCCATGCGTATTTTTTTTAGAAAGTGGTACATTAAATATCTCCTTATTTTATGGGAAAACTTTAATATTTCGTATTTTTATGTTCTCCTTTGATTCATGCGTATTTTTTTTGAAAAAATGATTTTGTCTTCAAATTATATTTAATACATTTGATTCATGCCTTTTTTTTTTGAAAAGTAGTTTTGTTTTCAAATTATATTAATATCTGAACTCCATAACAGTGTAATAATAACAGTTTAACAAGATATTTATATAAAATATTGTACTATTATATTTTGTCAAACATATATTTTATTATAATTTCATTCAAAACAGTCTATTTCTGTTTTGAATTTGTTACCATATATACAAAACTACTAAATACTATTTTTGTTACACTATCTTTGTTACAGTGTATTGTTACACTATTTTTGTTACATTATTACTTAATAAATTTGTTACGTTTTTGTTATAGTGTAAATAATTTTATATTTCAAATTATATAAAAAAATAATTAACAAATTTTAAAATTCAAATAAAGTAATATATCCTAAAATAAACGAAATATTAAAGCCCTCCCATAAAAGTAGGAGATATTTAATGAATAAATATAATTTAAAAACAAAACCATTTTTTTTAAAAAAATGCATGAATCAAGGTATATTAAAGATTTTGAATTAAATGACCTTAAATTTTAGCGTTTAAGATAAATGTCTTATTACAATTTTTAGGAAAGAAAATTTTACAAAATAGATATTTACGTCTTTATATCTTAACTATATATTTTTTTTCAAAATATTTTGATTTATGTATTTTTTTACAATTATATCTAATTTACTATACCGGCTTCCAAAGAACCACCATTTTATTCCCACCTCCACCAAGCCCACTGAAAACTGCCATCACCCACCCCTAAAAAACCACCACTACCGAGCACCCCATAGTAGGACACCATAGCCAATTACAACCACCAAAATTATGTCATGGTCAACCCAAACCCCAAAAAACACCTCACATGCCCACAATTTTAACAATTCAAAACCCATGTCATCACCAAACACCAAAGCCCCAAACCTTTCAAACCCAATGGTCTCACCTAAAGTTCGCATAAGGGCTCTTTGGTGACAAGAATAAAATACGATTTCAGACAAAGGAAACTTGAAAAATACTAAAACCCATTAGTCGTCGTTTCCAATAATCTCTAGCAAGGGTGTCGGCACAGTTTCTAAGACCACTAGAATATCCCATGATATTGGTGAAAATTCTATTATGGGGTGTGAATGTCAATGTAGTTTTGCCTATTATGTTTTTAACATCTATTTCCAACTGGATTACTGTGCGTGCTGATTTTCGCACAACAGTAGAAATAGGAACAAATCTCTCCTACGATAAACTGTTGTTCGATAAGATAGTAATTTCGACGAAATGGAAGGTTTGCTTTCAAAATTTCTAGTCACCTCCGATAGAGATTTGACCCATCCGAAAAGTAGATTTTGGCAACAAAAAGTAGGTTGAGAGGGACAAAGAGACCCTAAGAACTGGTGATGAATTGTTTGTTGGATCACCTGACCGGTCCTAGAAGACTGTGGGGGATCTTGTAACACAGAAAAACAGGTTAGAAGGGTGTCGGAGTGCTCTCCGGCGTATCCCTTCTGACAATCAAGTCAATTTTTTGAGAGAGAAGAAAAAGAAAGCACTGTAATTTTTTTCAGGAGTTCTTGCATACCTTGCAATGCGTTTTTTAGAGCTATTTATACCTTCAAAAACTCATGATTGCTGATGGTCCATCCAACAGATATTTGTCAAAGATGGGGTAGTGTGCCTTTCACTTTTATGGGGAATGGACTTTGCTTTAACTGATCAGGATACCGAGCATTTATAGCTCGCTCCTCAGTTTGCCGAGCATTCAATTCTCCCTTCTCGACGAGGATGCATTAAATGCTCAGGCATGGGGGTCTTTAATGCTTTTCACTTATTGGCTCTCATGCCTTAATTGTTGTCTCATCAAGAGGAGAATTCATTAAATGCTTACTTACTCCAGTCGTGTGTCAGCAGAGCATCTTCATGATGATTATGTTCTGCATGTTCATGTTTTGCATTCTTGCGCCCTCTGACACCATCAAGTAGAGCGTCTTCATGATGATTAATTTAGCTTGGCTTAGGCTAGCCATCTGTCAATCATTAATTTTTGCAGAAGTAGAGGAGAGGTGGAATCTAGCGTACAAAAGAAACACCTCGGCACTAAAGAATATTTGTCTATCTCGGGGTCAAGGGTTTTTGCCGAGCCAAGGACACGTTTGTTGACCACTCCCATTAGAGATCCCTCAGCTCTGAGCACTATCGCCTCGGTTGATGGGGATGAGTGTAGCCGAGGACACGTGGCCAGTTATGTTTTGAAACATAACGATGCCGAGAACACGTGTCGTCGATCTATCTTTTTTCAGAAATGTCTCATCAATTACTTTTAGAATTGTATTTTTCTTTTTGTCAGCCCGTGACCATTTAGAATTGCCTCTTGAACAAAGAACATGCTTTCTTTGGAGTTTAACTTTGGCACGAAAAAAAAAAATTCGGTATCATATCTGCACTTTTTATCCAATAAAAGTTTGAACCCAGTAATTTTTTTTTTACTTTATTATCTTGCTTTATTCTACTATTTTATAATCAAATCCTAAAATTTTTTTAAATCACGGTGTACGGCTATTGAATCTTTTGTCTGGGAAGGGTTTCATGGAGTTAAATCAGTTAGACTGCTATCATTTTCAATACATTCTCAGCAGTTTTGCTTTTTTTTTTTTTTTGCCTTAGTTTTTTTCCTTATGCTGTGAAAGAGAAAGCAAAAGTAGACAGGGAATGAACCCCTATTCCAAGGTGGGTGAGGGATTTGGATTCTTCTTTGAAAGAAACCCCACCTGCTAATATTTCAGATGTATTGAATGCTTTTCATGTCAACACAATTTTCCCTGTTCTAACCCTTTTCCAGACAATATAGGGCTCCTAGGATGGTGGGTATTTTGGTGATTGCCTTGGGATGCCTCAACATTCTATATAGGGTTTGCAAATGCATGCTTTTATTCTATTTCTTGGAGTTTTTCTCTGTTTATGATAGAAATCTAGTAGGGTCTCTCCTATGGGGGCTATAAAACCACCACACAGTTCCTCCCTTTTCCACCTCATTACTTGGGGGCCAAAAAACTAAGCGAATATATATATATATATAATTCAATGTATTTGGTTTTTAGTCAAAATAATAGATATTGCAATGACTTTGCTTTAGATAGATAGAGAGAATCTTAGGTGAGTATGACAAGACACACATGCCTTACTTAGACTATGACATTTCAGAGAGAGAGAGAGAGAGAGGTTAAGAGTTGCAGAAAACTGGCTTGGGAGAGTCTTAATGAGGGGAACTTTAATGAATGAGAGAAGTCTCTCTCCAAAAGGGCAGCTGGAGGTGGTTTATCCTTTTGCTCTCATGCATACAGCAGGGACACATTAGCCTTCTATGGTCCCTCTCAGTTCAGTTTGCTGTTGACCCCTGCAGGCCATTGCTGTGATCTCATTTAGATTTTGTTTGGACTTTCTGTTTCCACCTGAAATACCAAAACAGTCCCCCCTTCTTCATTCATTTTTAACTGCAGAGTGCAGACTCTTGGCTTTTTCTTCTGATTTTATGCTAAACAAAATTTTCATAAAATCCACTTGTTCATATGACTTAAGTTTTAGTATCTAAACTTCCCCTGCAAACAGAAGCATAGAAGTCATGAACAAAGCTCCCACACTTGGTTGATTTAAGATAAGATTGGCATTAATATGGAGTTAATAATGCAGCCAAAGCACTTTTCAAAGTGCAAGATTGCCATCGTATACGACACCAATGCAAATAAGCCCAACTTAGCCGGCCAGTAATGAATCATTGAAGCATATACCCTAAAGCATATCCTGAGATCTATACCTATAACAATGAACAAGAAACGCTATGGCGGATAAAACAGAGACTCTCCCACTTAGTTCTCTTCTTTAAAGAACGAGGAGGAGGAGAAACAGCCTTACAACTAGAATAGAGACATGAGTGCCCCTAAGATTGTTCTGGTCACAGGTTGTGCCAAAGGTGGAATTGGGTATGAGTACTGCAAGGCATTCGCGGATCAAAATTGCCGCGTTTTCGCATCTGATATCTGCCCGCGCATGCATGACATGTTAGAACTGCAATCGGATAGGATTGAGACGCTTGAACTCGATGTGTCGGCTGATGAAAGCGTGGCATCGGCTGTGAACACTGTTGTATCCAAATGTGGCCGGATAGATGTCCTGATCAATAATGCTGGGATAGGAAGTACTGGTCCTCTAGCTGAGCTTCCATTGGATGCAATTCGGAAAGCTTATGAAATTAACACATTGGGGCAATTAAGGATGGTACAACATGTAGTGCCTCACATGGCAGCCCAAGGCAGTGGAAGTATAGTAAATGTAGGTAGTGTTGTGGGGAGAGTACCCACCCCATGGGCTGGGTCTTATTGTGCTAGCAAGGCTGCGGTGCATGCCATATCGAACACTTTACGTGTCGAGTTGAGGCCATTTGGTATCAATATAGTGCTGGTGGTTCCCGGGTCTGTAAGATCAAACTTTGGTAGCAACAGCACGGAGAAATTGGAAAATTATGACTGGAAACTTTATAAGGATTTCAAGGAAGCCATCGCAGAACGAGCAAGGGCCTCCCAAGGTGGTAAAGCAACCGATGCAGCAGTGTTTGCAAGGCACGTTGTGAAGAAGGTTTTAAGTCCTAGACCTCCTAAGCAGATAATATTGGGTCACATGACGGGTTTGTTTGCTATTCTTTCATGGTCTCCCCTATGGGCGAGAGATCTTTTCTTTTCGACTCGATTCAAACTAAACAAGAAGGTTGTCTAATTAGTTAGTTATGACAGTCATGTACTCTTGGTTTGTGAGTTTGTATGATGCTTGAACTGGTGCATAAATTTTTAGTCCTTCACTACTTTGATCAAAGATTAATGATCAAAGCTACATGTACTTCAAACTGTTTTCAACAGTTACGACGTTGTACCGAAAGGTTTATGGATTTTGGAGGCAAAACTTTTGCTCTGGTGGTTGAGTATGTACTGAGCTCTGAATAAGAGTTAAAGTGTTATTAATGAAAGCATAAAAGTTTCAAGAGCATTAGTGAATTGAGGACAATGGGTCCTCCTTTGCACTTTTCCCCGTTTTGCAGAGTTTCTTGTTCATTTAAGCTGCTTTATTCAAGAGAAACTGAGGATTCAGTGGTGGCCATTGGACCTAAGTGTTACGGGTTCAAACTTTACCCCCCCCCCCCCCCCCCTTCAATGTAAACACTGTTAAAAAAAAATTTATTCCAAGAGAAACTAATTTGCTTCTGGGGCCTGTCCACATGCACAATAACATTGCTAGAGTACTGTTTGAATACTAGGCATCAAAGTTATAGTCTCCATAGGACCAATCTCAAATACGTGGGTGAGAAGGAGTACATAAACATAAGTTATGGACTTGCATTGTAGAATGGATTTTAAAACCACATAATTTTGGTCCAAAATGTGCAATATTATACAATGCGAGTGTGAAGGTCTCCTAAGATTATGCATTGCTTGGTACATCCCGTTTCAACAATGGGGAGAGGCAACTACCATGGTGGGAGTTATTCCTATCAACCGCACATTACTTGTGGCGAGGCAGAGCCCAAACGAGCATGTTTGGTCTTAAGATGGTGGGTGGGTTGTGATGATTCAATCACACGTAGCTTAGAGAAGTGAACATGGAGTAGTACATAAGTGCCACCTTGAAGTCTACATTAGATAATTCAGTTTAAAGTGTGCAGGCTTAATTCAAAATTGTATTCTACTATATAATGAAAATCAGGACGTTATTATTGGGACACCGGGCGTTACTATTGGTGTCTCAATACCGGAGGCATAATGGACCTGTTGGGGTAAATACATTGAGCAAACCACATTACTGATAAAAGATTATTGACAAGGCCAATTTCAATTTTCAAGCATGCAAAAAGAAGCAAATAGGCACCACCAACACTTCCCTATTTGTTTCCCAACAAAAGGGTGGTGAAAACGAAAGAACGTAATATTTGCTGAGGTAGCACACAGAGCCCTTTTGAAAGTTCATGCACTATTTTAGGTAAAAATGCAAATGGCCAGTAGTGGTTGAGTGGATTTACTCATCATTACTACAATCAAAAGAAAGGAGGGTCTCTTCCTCCACACCCCACAACCAACCCCCCCACCCCATCTCTTTCCCTCCCATACTCTCCCATCCTCTTTTCAAACAAAATCATTGCCACTGGAAAATCTGTCTCCATGCAACTTTTTCATGCAAATTTGCATGCAAGCTGTTGAGATTTATGGACTTAAGTTCCAATATCGCAGCAGTGGCACCCACATCTGTATTTATGGAATTGGATTGGCATATATTGTAATGTATTCAATACAAGTAATTAAGAAACAAATGTATAGAATAAATACAAGAATTCTTCGAAAATCATGAGAAGCATTATGTAAGTATCCACGAAATAAGAAATATTTTGTCAAAGGACCATAAGTGAAAATGTTTCACAAATTTTGAATATGACAATTCACGTTCTTAACCTTTAAACTACTTTAAAATTACGTTTTTTTTATTTTGTTTTGGGGGAAGAATCGATAGCTATGAGTTAAAAAATGAGCATCGCAAATGAATGATCAACTATGCCAACAAACAATTGAAACAAAGACTTGTGTTATAAAATTGATTAAAGCTACATAACCTTAACCAAACTTTAATGAGACTACTTGAGCTTAGACCAAACTACAAGTACCCCAGACCAAGACAAACTTGTTTTTGACAAAGTTGACCTAAACTGCGTCGTTTAACCTTGTGCACATCCGCAGGCCTCCCTCCCATTTGCCAACTGGGAACATGAGTAGCAAAAGCAGAGAAGCTACATAGGTCCTGTACAGAAGACTACGTACTGCTTGTGAAGTGACCATATGGGGCGGTTTTGTCTTCTGCCCCGTGAAATCTTGCTTAGCTTCTCTGAGCCACTGACAGTATATAGCAAGACCAGTTAATTGATGGGTGTATCATGTCAAAATTAATATGGCCACCCTCGTCTGCGGCTCTGCACATTCACTTAACCCACAATTATCCCGCAAAATTCGAGAACGAGAGAGAGAGAATGGGTTGGTTTTTTTTTTTTTTTTGGTACTTCATAAAACTGTTTACTCCAGGTATTGATTATTGAGCAGTCCAGCCAGTTCAGAGAATGAGGTTTCTTTGTTTCTCTGTCTTTGGTTCAGGTTTTAGACCGTCTATCTTTTAATAGCATTTGGGTTTTGAGTACATTGTAGTAGGGTTCATATAAGTCAAGGGTCTTTAATTAAGAAATAGTGATTATTTCATTTATTTTGTTCTGAAAAGGATGAAAAGAAAAGAAAAGAAAGAGAAGGCAGGGTGGAGCGTAGAAAAAGCAAAAGAAGATGTCTTTCTCAAACACGGATCCCTATGGAATGCAGGAAGAATGCCCAGCATTGTTTGCTGGAACTTCTCCTTTTTGTTTTGTTTTAAGGGCCTTGCTTTGTTCTCTTTAGAAATCTTTTGAGAGAGAGAGAGAAGACCATAGGTTCTGGTATTCAGTGAGTTTAGGCTTTGTTAAAGATTGCTATTTGGATTTTGTTCTAATGGCTCTGCAGCTAGAAAACAAAAGACCCCAGTTTCAAAATGGAGGGAAGTAAAGAGATGTGGGGATATAATTAGTTAATTAGTTTTCCAATCATTGAATTGCCTTGCACCTAGAGAAACTTGCTGAATCTCTTGTAAGTGGAAAGGAGGAATTAGTAGAGAAAAAAATGAAGCCCCTGAGTAATGATAATACCAGCAGCAGCAGCAACAACAACTGGTTGGGTTTTTCTCTCTCCCCATACATGAACAACATGGAGGGTCCTTCAGACCCTCACCAAGCTCAGGCTTCCTCTAGTCAATCCAGTGGAGTACCACCAAGCTTTCTTCATCCTCCCTATCATTTCAACTACTCTGGCACTTACTATGGAGTTAATGGTGAAAATGGCGGGTATTATTCTCCTCTCTCTATGATGCCACTCAAGTCTGATGGATCATTGTGCATAATGGAAGATATCAACAGGTCACAACCACAAGGTTAGCTCAAAAATTGATCTACATTACTTCAGTTTTGTGTTTTGGGTTGCTTAGTTAAACTTCTGGTGTCATTTTTTTCTTTTTTTTTGACTTTTCCTGTGAAGGAATGGTAACTTCAACACCAAAACTGGAGGACTTCTTTGGTGGTGCCACAATGGGGACCCATCAATATGAAAGCAGTAACAGAGGAGCTATGGCTCTCAGCTTAGACAGCATTTACTACCACCAAAATCCAAACCATGAGCCCAACAGTCAAGACTTTCTAAACAATCTCCAACACAGCTCCAGGCAAGTTCAACAGCAGACTGAGGTCCAACAATACCCAGATTACTCTTCATTTAGAGGCCATGAGTTGTATCAGACACCACAGCAGGAGGATAAGGAGACCCAGCTTGCACATTGCAATCTTGAGCTCCCAACAATGGCAGACCATGAAGTCTCTGGCATGAAAGACTGGGTTTCAAGAACCTACCACCAAGCTGGACAGGCATTGGATCAGAAGATGATGGGCTGTATGAATGAGAATGGGGGAGGATCTGTGTCTATTGGTGCAGTAGGGTATGGAGATTTGCATTCTCTGAGCTTGTCCATGAGTCCTGGTTCTCAATCAAGCTGTGTTACTGGTTCACACCAGATCTCACCTACAGATTGTGTGGCCATGGACACGAAGAAAAGAGGATCTGAGAAAATAAATCAGAAGCAGATTGTTCATAGGAAGTCCATCGATACATTTGGACAGAGGACCTCACAGTATAGAGGTGTTACTAGGTTAGTTTATTGTGTGCTTCTCTAATCCTTTCAATATTGTCCTGCTATCTTTCAGTACAACTATTTGCTTTTCTTATGCCTGCAATATCCTCGCTGTTGATATTAAGCAAACTCTTTTCCTCATTCATTTGTAACTAGTAAAACATATACTTAGATTTATTCGTGAAAATAGCCACTCTATGCCCGGGTAAAATGCTGTGTCTTCCTTGGGTTCTACGCACACTGGCCGTAGCCTCGTACACAGGCTCTCCTATATATCTTCTGATTTTTTTCGTGGATCTATGTTGCAGGCATCGATGGACTGGAAGATATGAAGCCCATCTATGGGATAATAGTTGTAAGAAAGAAGGACAAAGCAGGAAAGGCAGGCAAGGTTAGTAATGTAACCATGATCTGTCTATACAAAGTGACTCCACAAGTTTCTGTCACAATTTAATGTTTTTTCTCACTACTATACATGTTACAATTTGTATGGTCTCGGTTGCTGGGGGTTGCTGTTCCAACTAAAATAATGCCTTTCAGTTTACTTGGGTAAGCTTTCTTCGATTTTGGTTTTTGTTTGTTATTTAGTTTTCATCAAGTCATTTATAAGTATTGGTTTTTCAGGGGGATATGATATGGAAGAAAAGGCTGCCAGAGCTTATGATTCAGCAGCACTGAAGTATTGGGGACCTTCGACCCATATCAATTTTCCGGTACCATTATGATCCTCATTGCTCCTTTAAGTGTACCAGATGTCGTGTATCTAAGACTGTTAATGGTTGCAGTTGGAAAACTATCAACAAGAGCTTGAAGAAATGAAGAACATGACCAGACAGGAATATGTTGCTCACTTGAGAAGGTAGCTTTTTGTCCCTTTCCAATAATACAATATGTATTCTCATATTTCTTGATATATTTCATCCCAACTATTTCATTTTCCAGGAAAAGCAGTGGCTTTTCAAGGGGAGCTTCTATGTATAGAGGAGTAACAAGGTCTTAATATTCAGTAAATGCTTTTAGTTTAGTTGAACCGAGAATGAAAACGGTTTCCCTGAAATCTTTGTTCATGTTTTAATCTGTAGCAGACATCATCAACATGGGCGATGGCAAGCTAGGATCGGCCGAGTTGCAGGAAACAAGGACCTTTATTTAGGAACATTCAGTGAGTCCTTCTAATTCTTGAAGTTCTTCAGGAATTTCCTTTGTGTTCATTGTGCCTGTGTGTTCATTGTCTTCTAATATTGAAGTTATACAAAGACTTTATGATTAAAAAAAGAACAATTCTACCAAGGCAATAATGGATTCTTTGTGATCTTTAAGAAGGGACTCTATAAGGTACGGCACTCAGTTGTTTGAACTCCTTTGTTTTCAACCACTTATTGATAGTAAGGCTGATCACAGGTCACTTTGAGATTGTGCAAGGCTGGTTCTTTAGGGATCCTTTGTTGAATTAATCAATTTCAAGTAGAAAAGCTATTTTAGTTGCTCACTAGACAGCAATTTCAGGCACCCAAGAAGAAGCTGCCGAGGCCTATGACATTGCAGCAATCAAATTTCGCGGGGCAAATGCTGTAACCAACTTTGACATATCAAGGTACGATGTGGAGCGAATCATGGCAAGCAATACACTTCTTGCCGGGGAACTGGCTAGGCGAAATAAGGACACAGAACCAGGCAATGAATTCTCTAATCACAACCCTTCTCACAACAACCATAATGGGGAAGCCAGTGTTTCAAAGGAGAACAATGGAAGGGTATCAGACTGGAAAGTGACCCTCTATCAGTCTTCTCAACCTGATCATAATCCAAGTAATCTGGGGGAGTTCAAGGGCCCATCTTTTCCTCTGGCTGCACATAATCTGATTGGGACAGATCCAATGAGCTCAGCTCCTATAGAGCTGGATGAGTCGACCAAGATGGCGCCTCACTTTTCAAATGCCTCTTCCTTGGTGACCAGCTTGAGCAGCTCAAGAGAAGGCAGCCCTGATAAAAACAACAGCCTTCCAATGCTTTTAGCGACGCCTCCATCAGCATCCAAGTTTTTTACCAGTCCATCAACAAGTGCTCTGAATGCTTGGATCTCATCAGCCCAGCTAGGTCCTCGTGTGCCAGTTTTTGCCGCGTGGGCAGATACATCATAGTGTTATTAGGCAAATTAACTAAGGTCAATTGCATGAACAGAACAAGGGAAGAGAGAGAGATTCATCGTTGTTTTCCTGTGGGTTTCTCTAAATTAGTGGCACGAATTAGGGGATAATGGTGATCTATGTGGGACCTGTAATCTGTCTTTCAACAAGGGTTCCAAAGTTTTCAAACTCAAATCCCTGCATTTGATCTTATGAAATCGTTTAACAAAATGATGATTGGAGTATTATGAATTTTTGACTAAATGAGAAAGACCCAAATCATAATTAGATTTTACAATTATTAATTGGTCCTATAAAGTACAGAACCAGCTCAGTGTGCTGATATTTCCCTGGAGCCTTTGACTCCAAACATCCACTGTCTTCTCACCTTGTTCAGTTCTGTCACCATATCTTCTTTATCATAGCTTAGCTTTCACCCAAGGTTAATGACTTTCCATCCCCCATCATTCAACAAAGCTAAACATCATGAGCTGGATTCTCTCTAGTCTGAGGGACTTTTGGTGTTTTAATTTAATTCTCCATAATTAGTGGGTTCTGCTATTTTTTTTTTCCTTCCAACTACAGCTTGGCTCAAACCAATGATGCTGTGTATAAAAGCAGTCTTCTCTTGTGTCCTAATGTGGGCTTCCATGGCCAATAAGTGCTCCATTCTGTGTGTTTGCTGTGCAATCTTCATGTCGCCACAAGCACATGTGCAAAAATCAAATCAATTTTTTTCACCATCATGTCGTTCCAACCAAACCATAGACGAATGAAAAACTAGAAACAGTTTCAAAAGAAGCCTTTTCTAATCCCATGGTAGACTGTTATTACGAAGGAGGCCATAAATAAAACAACATAACACAGTAGAGAAAAATATCAAATATGCAAATATAGGTGGTTTAGCTTGAAAGTTTATGTCCATGGGTGAAACGCAGTTGTAAGGTTCCAATATCAAAGATAAGATTATAGAAAGTATTCTGAAACATAATAAACATGTCTATTGACCTATCGTTTTATAAAACTCACCAAATACCATATTTTTAAATCGGTGTCTTGTTCATAGTAGAATTCAAAAAAACTTCACTAATAAAAGGTTTCCAAATCGGTCTCTTACTTAAGAGTGGAACATAAGACATCTGCAACATAGATTATGAGAATAAGAGTTGTTTACTCCAAATTACCACAAAACCCTGATAATACTTGGAAAGCAAAGAAATTATGATGGTAGGTGGAGCATTCATGTTGATTCACTTCATAGAGCACTAATGCATGATGTAACACAATCAGAATTATTAAATATTTAATAAATTCTATAAAACCCACTAGTCTAATAGTTTTAAATTCGACCAAAAGCTTTCTGAGTGTAAGCAGAAAAACTGAGAGACATGAGAGTGATTTGGTGATGTTTTTTCACTTTACTATTGACAAATTCTGTGCATGTATGGGCTCTTGGGAAACACCTGTTTTGACCCCTAAATTGCATCCTCCTTCTCCTAGTTCTGAATGACAGAAACATTGTTATGGAATAAAAAGGACACAGGTGATGTCAAAAGCAAAGATTTACAGAGAGGAAAAAATTGCAAAACTAAGAGACGATTCTCCATTATTACAGAAAGGTTTAAGGAGCTTGAACAGAGGTAGGTGGTCATGTCAAGGAAATTCGCAATCATAATGTTTTACTTTCTCAAATATGGATTTGTCCCCAACAGCTGGAAGGAATCACCGAATGTGAAGTTCTTTCATTTAGAGTAGACTGTCACCAACACCTAATAAGACACTTTGGAATTACTTTTCTTCCCAATATTACTTATCAGAATATAAGAATTACAGGTATAAAAAAAAGAAGTTAATTGTACCGGAAGCCCTAAAGTATAGAGTTTATCTCATTTTAATCTTTAATATTTTAATTACATTATTTTTGTCCTTAAAATATTGAATATATTTCTATTTGATCCCTCAAACAGACAGTATCTAAATTCCTAACAGGTTTTTATCATAAACTTGACACGTGATTCATAAATATGGACAAAAAATAATTTGAATAGCTCTTGACTAAAATTTGGGTAATTTTTTACCAAAAATGTATAATATGATTAGCTCTTGACCAAAATTTGAATAATTCGTAATCAAAACTGTGTAATTTGAATAGTCATTTGACCAAAATTTGGATAAAAATTAGGTCAAGAGTTATTCAAATTATTTTTTTACCCGTATTTAAGTATTATGTGACAAATTTATAATAAAAAAATTGTTAGTGACATGAACGTTGTCTGCTTGAGAGACCATATAGAAATATATTCAATATTTCAGGAATTAAAATAATGCAATTAAAATATTAAGGACTAAAATAAGATAAACATCATACTTTGGGAATCTCTAGTGCAATTAAACCTAAAAAAAATTAATAAAGCAAAACACATGCATCTACATTATCATATTTCTAAAAAAAAATATCCACATAATAGTAAGATATTTTTAACATTTTTCGTATCCGATATAAAATTCGAACATATAAATATTTCAACCGACAAATACTAGTTCTTATTGTTGCGCTCAATCTGTAAACTAAGGAGCTTCGCTTATCTTAAAGTGAAAGAGTTGATGGTAATATGAAGTTGGAGAGCTGCAAGAGTTTGATGTAATTTGCTTGGAATAAGTTATTGACTTTTGGTCATTGTTAAAGAGCATAACTGTCGAGATTACGTGCATCTCGAATTTACATAATGAATACTCCACTTTATAAAAAGCGAACAAAAGAAAGAAATAGCAGGAACTTTAGGACTTAGTTGTTGTGGTGGTCATCCATTACCTTTCTCATAATGCATTACTTTCTAAAGTTTGGTTGCCAAAACAAATATAATTCCACTCTCGCACCCATCTGAAATCATTAACATTCTTCTTTGATTGTTGTCTTCCTAGCTACTTTTTTAGACTTTATTGAAATAAACCGACAGAAAGATTGGCAATTGTAAAATCAGTAGCTACCTATTTGCACCAATGTCTGTTTTTTAAGTTAACTATAAACGCAAAAATCAAATACATTAATATCAATCATATATCAGGGGTAATTATCAATGCGGGAATCAGTACATTTATACCGATCGCGTCATTTTAATTCGATTGTCACAATCTTTGGAGATAATATATATGTTTTTAACATGTAATTCTATATCAGACACATTGATTTTTACTTTTTATTCTTTGTCACACATATGATCCTATTTTTCACCCTCTTCGAAGTTTTGATCTGGGTTCTCTTTCACATCACAGGTAAGATACATGTTGGTGATGGTGACCTTTTCTCTTCCAAGGTATGGACAGTCTTGAACTCTTCCATGTCTCGTAAAAAATTCTCGTTTATTTATTTTTTGTTCGAATCCCTAAAAAAAAATTATTGATTGTTTAGGTGAATGAGAATCCAAAAGCAAAGCCCACACAAATAAGCACTGCCTGACTGGCAAGCCCAGGACCCATAAGATGCTTGGCCATGTTTTTTGATATTTATACCCAAGATGAGTGATCTGTCAAAGAAGTCCTCAATAAAGTATGAAAATAAGAACACAACTAAAAAAATTAATGAACACAAATTTTAAAATCAAAGGATATGCACTTATTAGGGCTTGGTTGGATGGATTTTTGGTGAGGGTTTGGATTGTTTTCCCTAAACCCTTCCAAATCTATACTCTTTTTATAAAGATGAGATTCAATATTGAATTCGGTTCATATACATATTTGGTATACAACATATACACATATAGTACTTACGAATATATCATAATTATTAACAACTATTTTTCATATAAATAATTATTTTATCTTTGATCAATCTAATTCATATTCATGTTAAGTGGTACAATTATCCTTTGTATCATAAACCTCTTAACCCATCTTCTCAAACTCACCCCCTAGGTTTAACAAAACCTATGATCATAGGTTTAATATTCGGGTCAACTATGAATTAGGTTTGATAAACCAGAATTAAATTTTTAATCCAAACATAGAGTTTTGGGATCCTTTAGACTATTTTCTCCAAACTTTCTTGTCAATCTCCCTCATACCTACTTACTAAACAACCCCTTAATCACATAACCCTTTAAAACATGCGACATTTTACGCACCAATTTGAGCTTGAAGGGCGAATTCTCTTTGAAGTCGCACTCTTTTTTATAAAATTTGTGAATTCAAATTTTTAATTCGCGAATTAACGTTTTTATTTACTTATATGTTTACTCATTATCATTCAAATTTTTATTTTAAAAGTACTGACTCATCCATAAGAATACATATCAAATTATAATTGCTATTTCAAGATGTTATATTGAATATATATTTAAAAAATTAAAGAGTTTTCCACATAATTTTGTATGAAATTTAATTTTTATTAACTTTTATAAGTGAATGTTTATCTTGATGCATATAATATGACGCTCTGAAGGCATTTCTGCTCTCAATTATTTTTAAATTTTGCCACTTTTGCTCTCTCACACTCTTTCTCTCGCTCCCGTGTCTGTTTCTAATCTGTTAGGTTATGCATATATATTTTCATATAAAAAATATAAACTTAAATTATGCTTTTTGCAATTAACGATGAACTAAAAAATAGGTTAAAATAATAATAAAATAATAGTAAAAATTTAAATAAACTGTAGTACGATCATTAATATGTGGAAACTTAGATTAGATCTGACCTACCTAAAACTGTGCAAATCATTTGTTTTGCATATCTTGAAGGACTAAAATATCATCACTCTCACTATGACCCCCATATGGCTGAAATTTTGCCAAAACAATTCAAATTAATTGAGTTGTAAAGCGGACCAAGATCTATAGAATTATCACATGGTTGTCAATTATGGACTTCCGTACGGTTCATTAGTCCCTCTAACAGCAGACTGAGTAGTAAAGTTGACAATGGGTTAGATTGTGTTGCGTTTAAATCGAGTTCATTTCACTTGCATTGGCCTAAAATAGGGTCTTAATTTGTAAATCATGCTCAAAAGGGTTCTTGTTGA